GTTGTCGCGCGCGGACTATTTACCCGTGGTAAAAATTTGTTGATTAACCAAGACGCATTGGCTATTGGCGTTCGAGGAGGACTATTTTCTCCCGACATTCACGCGTAGTACAATTTTAAATTTTCTCGACTTACATTAGAAGTACGGCTCGCATGGTCGCTCGCAGGCTCCGTTGTTTGCGGCTGGCCCTGGCGTGAAGTAAGATGCTGGTTGTCGAACGCAGTTGCTGCTTCTCGTTGTTCGCTGCTTCTGCGTTGTCCGCTGCTTGGCGTCGTCCGCTGCGTTGGCGTTGCTTGCTGCTTGGCGTCGTCCGCTGCTTTGGCGTTGTCCGCTGCTTGGCGTCGTCCGCTGGTCCTCTGGATGTTTGCACTTGGCCTTGGGTGTTGGCCTTTTATTTTATTTTTGCTCTTTGGTGTTCTTGAGGATGCCTTGATCGATCCCTTTTGGCTCAGTACCGTTGTTGATACCTTGGTCGCTCTGTACCTTGGTTATTTCCGCCGGTCGATCTGATTCTTGGTCAATCCACAGGTGTTCCACCATACTTATTTCCTTCCTTGTTAGTCGTACTCAGCGTTAACTGGTAGACATTATTTGCGTACCTTAGGCAGGCTTGCTGTTGTCTTTCCTAGTTGTCCTGGTGCTTTGGTCAATCCCACCGCTGCCACCAAATTATGTTATGCCGCGTCGCCGGTTGGTGACGGCTTACGGCAAAACGTTTATTATTTTCGGGATCTCTTGACCTTAAGAGTTGGGACTCGGTAGGCACAGGCGGGCAGACTAGGAAGCGGTCGGGTTCGCAGGTGGAACGGGGTGTAGGCGTCGTTAAATGAACTTCACTTCGTTTTGCTTTATATTGGAGCTTTATTTCAGCGCCCCTTTTACACTCACTAACTTACACTTGTATTTGCCTTTCACAATTACTATAACTCGCACGCGCTTTGTTATAATGTAAACCTTCGCGACACGACTTACGAGAACGGTCATGGGCAGAGTCTCCGGTGTATTACTCTCCGTCACGGCTTCTTCGACGGTCCCTTATATTGTTTTGAGTTATGCCCTGTCGGCGCTTTTCTGCCGGGTTCGACGGTCCCCCGAATGAGGTCGGTCAGTGACCGAGCGCATTCGCAATTTCGCTGTACTCCGCGGTTCCGCGGTTGTCGAAATGCGTTGTCGCACATTCTTATGCATCTCGCAATATTGACGCGGAAGCTTGATGAACTTCCGCGGTTCCGCGAATGTCGAAATGCGTTGTCGCACATTCTTATGCATATCGCAATAGTTCGATTGACGCGGAAGCTTGATGAACTTCCGCGTCCGCGTCGGCGCAAATTGAGGAGTCTTTCGAAAGACAATTTCCTCGAAGTCTTTCGAAAGACTATTCTATAATTTTATTATAAGTAATTTAATAATTACTCGTTGTAATTTTAGATTACAACAATAAGTTGCCTGAGGAAATAAGAAACATTGATAATAATGTAAGAGAATTTAAAAGAAGATTGAAAGAAAAATGGATTTAAGTAAAGTGTATTGTGTGTATTGTATGATAGCTAAAAGTTAATAAATGTATTCATTTATTCATTTATTCATTTATTCATTCTCTCTCTCTCTCTCTCTCTCTAAAATGCTATAAATTGAAAAATATTACTTTTTTATCGACTGAAGTTTAATTCTGTTGTATACAATTTGAGATTCACTCAATTATTTCCTAAAAAATTGGAAAAATTTTGTAACAGATTTCCAAAAAGATACCGGTTCCCAAAAAGATCAGTAACGAAAAACAATACAATTTATAGCATTTCCCGGGAAATTCTACCCCTGTTTTATATACAATTCTTTAAAATTCGATCAATTATTTCCCGAAAAATTTGAAAAACTTCTGATACCGATTCCCAAAAAGATCGGTAACAAAAAATTATGTACTTTATAGCACTCCCCGGGAAATTCTACACCTACTTTGTATGTACAATTTTTTCAGATTCGATCATTCTGAACCGGTTTCCAAAAAAATCGGTAACAAAAAAATAGTGTACACTTTATAGCACTCCCCGGGAAATTCTATCCCTACTTCATAATTCTTTGAGATACAATCAATTATTTCCCAAAAAATTGGAAAAATTAAAAAAACCGGTTTTCAAAAAGATTGGTAACAAAAACTATACACATCATAGCGCTCCCCATAAAAAAAAATATATATATATATATGTATATATATATACACACATATATTTATTATACCCTTACTTCATATACAATTCTTTAAAATTCGGTCAATAAATTTTCGAAAAATTAAAAAAATTTCGGTACCGGCTTCCAAAAAGATCGGTAACGAAAAATTATACACTTTATAGCACTCCCCGAAAAATTCTACCTCTGTTTGATCTATAATTCTTTGAAATTCGGTCAATTATTTCCCGAAAAATTAGAAAAATTAAAAAAACCGGTTTCCAGAAAATCGGTAACAGAAAACTATACACATAGCATTTCTCGGAAAATTCTACCCCTATTTCATATAATTTTGGTAAAAATTCGGTTCAGGAGTTTGGGCTAGGCGTTGATGAGTCTATAGGCTTGTTCGCGTTGCTTGAAATCCCCAAACATTTTTTGCTTCCTCATAGAGAAAGTTGTTTTCGTTAAAAAAAAAAATTTTTTTGTTTTTCTGAATGTGTTCAGAATGTTCTAAAACGTCGAAAAATTGCAATTTTAACCCTAGAATCCATGACTGGGGTCGATTTCGACCCCTGCCGAACTTTGAACTACGCTCCTGAGCTAGCGAGTGACATTATCGACTCAGGACCTGAACCATAATTCATTTCAACTTTCTAAAAGTAGGGTTATGTCGGGCGCAGCGTTAGTTGTTCGCTAGCAGTGAAGTAGCACAGTCGCAAAGCGGGCGTGGGGTCGATATCGACCCCAGTCGTGACTTGCCGTTTGAGTTTCGTCACGGTAAGCTAATTTTATTTTTTTGCTAGAATCAATATATATCATGTATTATTACGTAATCTGAGCATAAATAGTCATAAATATTATTTAAGACGAAATATCACACAATTTAGTCGGTAAAAATCCCGTTGCCTATAGAAGATTGACATTTCGCAGAAAATGGCTGGGCGATATAATGTTTCATTTTTTTCATATTTTTTACTATTTTGTATCAAATAAAAATGAAATAATACTTAAAATACAATTTTTTATGGTTTTTTCATCGACTTTTTCCGTATTTCAACTTTGCGAATTTCTTCATCTTTATAGTCCCAAATAAATATACTTTTTGAACAGAACATAGCGATGACAATTTTTTTCTAATAGTCTAATGTGTCCTCTTTAAAACCCCGTTTGAATTTTTAAAATCGGTTGATTACAAAAAAAGATACAAATTTTTGTTTAAAAAAAGAGGTTTTTGCTGATTTTCTGCGTTTTTCAGTCTTTAAATGGATTTTTCACTAACTAAACTTGAGTAAAATTAAATTTACCGTATACCATTCTCTTCGTTATTAAAAAACGAAGAAATTCATGTAGGTTTAAAGGCCCTTTATTTCTGTAGGACCGGTTTTACGATCAAATAAAGCGTGGGGTCGATATTGCCCCCAGTCATGGATTAGAAGGTCAAAAAAATGAGTCATGGATTCTAGGGTTAAAAAATGGCTGTATATATAATGTGTATGTGTGTATGTGTGTGTATGTGCCTTTACCGAAATTTCTATAACTCCAGAACTAATCAACCAAATCTTAACGAATTATATATGAAATAAGGGTAGAAAAAACTGAAGAATATAATAGAATTAATAAAAATTGCTAATAATCAAGGAGTTCTTTTTTAATAAAATTTTGAATTTTTGCAGAAATGTTTGTTTATGCTTTAAATTTGGAGATATCGATCTATTTCTAATTTTATCATATTTTTCAGTCTTTTCTACCCTTATTTCATATGTAATTCTTTAAGATTTGGTTGATTAGACTCAGCTTTATACGCGATCAAAGGTCCCTAATTTTTAGAAAAATGTCTGTAATAACTTTAACTTCTGTAAATTTTAAGATATCGGTCTATTTTTAATTTTGTTATATTCTTCAGTCTTCTCTATTTTTATTTTATATAATTCTTTAAGGTATTCATAGTCAGGTCTTATATTCAAGATCGTCTTAAGTATAGTCATCAGCCAATCAGAGGGCTGTATTAGCATCTTAAGACGTCACTTCCTCTATGAAGAAGCCAAGTGCAAATTTTTTGCACTTGAAATGAGATAAATATATATTCGGCCGTTGGAGAGAGAGAAAGCGAAGATGCTGAGTGCAAAAAGTGCAAGCAACGCGAACAGACCCATTGAGTCAGTCAGTTAGTCAGTCAGGACATCTTCCTTTATATATATCTAGTTCATCACTCCACAGCCTTTTCCACTTCTCTACCCCGTCATTATCTAAATCCTTAAACCATACACTTGCTCTCTGACATTTCTCTACAATGTTCCATACAGTCATTGCCGCACAAAATACATTTTTTACAATCTTCTTCTAACCAATATTTGTTTGCTTCTTCCAAATTTTCGCATCTCAGTTTTACTAAAGCTCTCACGTCATCACCTATCCTTACCCTTTTTAAATTATCCTTTTTTAAATATTCCGGATCTCTATCTAGCTTATCTAACACTCTATATCTTTTATTATACCTACTCTAGGATTTTATTTTCTTCCCATTGTCTCTGATTATCCCTTTCCCTACTTATTATTTCATTCTCTAAATTCGCTCCCTCTCTTCTCAGTTCCTCCAGTATGCCTATTCCCCATCCATTCCTGTTGTAATATCTTTCTCTCTCAATACTATACCTATCTTTCCCCCCATAAGCTTCCTTTTCCTTCCAACAGTGCCTTACAATATCTCCTCCCATACCTTTTAAAATTCTTTCTTCATATCTTATTGCCCTTATGCCCCATCGCACCTTTAATTTAACCATACCTATTTCCCTTGATATCACATACCTTGGTGTACAAAATTCTATAGCAAATATCTAACGAATATAGTCCATCATTATTTTTTCCAACTCTACCTTCTCTTCCCATCCCCAAATTTCTACCCCATAAGCCATAACGCTCTGCACCAAATATTTAAACATTATCCACCTTCTTAAGAAATCCTTCCTACATATTCTTTCCCCTAGTCCCCAGACTTTTCTAACCGCCATCCTACCTTTTTTCATCAATTCTCTAATGTGAGCCTTATAGTTACCATTCTTGTTAAACGTAAATCCTAAATATTTAAAAGTCTGTACCTTTTCTATATATTTTTTATTACTTCAGCTAAATCCGCTGTATACAGATTGAACAGAAGTGGACTCATTACGGATCCCTGTGTTACTCCTTTTGATGTCTGGAACTCCTCCGTATATCCATGACTGGTCCTCACCACAACTTCCGTTTCCTCGTAAATTATTTCCAATCTTCTTATCAGTTGTTCTTTTATTCCCTTTTCTCGTAGAATCTTCCACAGAATTTCCCTATCCACATTATCAAATGCAGCCTTGAGATCTGCAAATAACGCGTACACCTTTTCCACTTTATCTCCTTTTCTTCTTTCCTTTTGAATCAAATGGTTCAGCACGAATATGTTATTTATCGTTGACCTTCCTTTTCTAAAGCCCGTCTGATTCTCCGGAACCATCCCCTTCTCTTCAGACTCCATCTCTAACCTGCTCCTTAGTACCTCCGCATAAACTTTGTACGCCGTACATAATAGCGAGATACCTCTATAATTACCCTCCTCTCTTGATCTCCTCTCTTGTATAATGGCACTATTATGTTTTTCTTCCAATCCGAGGATATCCTTCCTTCTCTCCATATTTGTCTCATCAAATCCATCAGCCTATTCCATAAAATCCCACTCGCATATTTCCACGCCTCCATTGGGATCCCGTCTACTCCTGCCTTTTTATCTTTATTCAACGCCATTTTGATCTCCATTTCTGTAATTTCGTCCTCCTCTTCCCCCTTTTCTTCTTGTTGCCTTGTGCTCTTCCTGCTCTCATCCTCCTTGTCCACTTTTGTCTCTTTTAGTAATTCCATGAAGTGCCTTCTCCATTCATTCTTGTCTATATTATTTTCCATCCATACCTTTTTGTTCCTTTTCTTATTTATGAATTTCCAAACTTCTGCTTCCTTCCTTAATTTCCTTAACTCTTCTTCTTCCTTCCGTCTCTTCTCCTCTTGTTTCTTTAACTGCAGATCCCCCAGCTTTCCTTTCTCTTCTATGTACCTGTCCCTGCCTATTTTGCCGTTTCTCCACCTCCTGTACATCATATGCACCTCCCTCTTCTTTCTAGTACAGCTCCTTTCTCACCAGTCCTTATGTCCTAGTTTCTTCTTCTTGATTCTCCCTTTTTTTAACCATTGCTCCATGTACAATTTGCTTAATCCTTTGCCATTTCTCCTCCATTGAACTACATACTTGTCCTTCTTCTTTGCATAACTCCTCCGTCGTCTCTTTATACTTCTGTATAGCATCCTTATCCCACTGGACAACTAGTTTTTTCTCTTCTTTTCTTGCTTCACCTTCCTCATTTTTATCTTGTCCCCTTCCTTCCTCTATTTCCACTTCCAGAATTAACGGCATATGATCTGAGTCCACTCTGTCATCTATCCTAAATTTTATAATCTTCTCGTGCGCATTTTCACTTACTACACATAATCTATTACCGTACTACCTCTAGCTTCTACATAAGTGTATTCACCTTCCCAATCTCCTTCCGTCATTCCATTTAATATATACCATCCTTTCTCTTGTACCCATTCTACAAAATTCCTTCCTCCGTTACTGATTATCTTATCTTTACTTCTCCTTTCCAACTCCATCTCCTCTATGTCCAAATCTCCTAACTCTCCTATCCTTATATTAAAATTACCACCTATTATAATACTTCCCCTCTCCTCGTCCTCCAATAACCTATTCATTCTTTCCTCCAACTCTCTCCATCCTCCCGAGTTGTACACCGAAAAAATCCTACAATTTTCTTTCTCTCCTACTATTTCTGATACCACTACATTCCCCTCTTCTTTAATTAACCTACTATCTATAATACTTTCCCCCAATCCCTCTTTTTGCCTATTACAAAACCTTCCTTTGCTCTCCTTCTTCTTTTTACTTTTCTAGCATAGCTGCATGTCCATTCGTGCGTCTTTGGTAACCTGTTTTTAATCATCTCCCATCCCTCTTTTTCCAGCTACGTTTCACGTAAACTAACAAAGTCGAACTTTTTTATGTATTCTCAAAACTCCCTGTCCTGTCAAGGACTCCCTGTCCTTATTTACCAAACTCGCTGTGTTCCAAAACAAAAATCTTTCCCCCCCTTTATGGTCTTTCCTCCCTTTTCGGTTTTCTTTTTCCCTCTATCTCCTTCCTTGCTCCTCTCCCCTGTGCCACCTTCCTGGCTTAAACGAAATTTTTTTCCTTCTCATTACTCTTACTTTTTCCTTACTTGTGCCTCAACTTCCTCTCTCTCCTCCCCTTCCATTCTACTTTCTCTGCCTATCTTGTTTTCCAACTCCGTCCATACTTTCCAGACTCCTTCCACTCTTACCTTTCCAAAACCTACCTTTATCTCTTTACCTCTATTTCTTTGCTCTATTTCTTGGGCCCATTTATTCAATTTTTCCTGTATTTTCCTATCCTCCCAGCTTAAATCATTCTCTATAAAGACCTTACCTCCTTTCAACTTACTCTTATTTCTCATTTTTTCCTTCTTTTTTTCTTTACTTTCAATTTTTACTACTCTAACACCGTCCCACTGTTCCTATTACTTACCACCTTGCATTCTACTTCTAACTTTTTTTTTATAAAATCCTGTATCTATTGTCTACCTTTCCTTATGTCCCTTTCCACTTCCTTCGGTAATGCTATACCTTTCATCACTATATTGCACCTTCTCCTCTCTCTGTCTTTGTCCGCCACCTACTTCTTAATCTTGCCTACTTCCCAATTACTTAACCTATCTTCGCTGCACTCCGAAAAGGATCCCGCGTAAGTACTCCTTCTTCTACTATAATTATCACTGCTTTCCTTATCACTAATTACGCTCGTTCCTCCCCCTTTGCTTCTCTCTTCGTACATGTATACCTTCTTTTTCATATCTTCTAATCTTTCCATTACACATTTTTCCAAATTCTCTATTTTCTCTTTAATTTCCCTTATACTTTCTTCCCACACCCTCTCTTTTATTCTTATATCTTCCATATATTTTCTGTAATACATCCTCCTATCCTTTTTTAGCACCTTTAGTTCTTTGCTAAGCTGTTCACATAAATCCTTCTCTATTTTCTGCCATTCATCCCCTCTTCTAACCTAAACGTTACTTTCTTACCATTATCCTTTTTCTCCGCAACTAATTTCCTCTGCTTACTATCCTGCCTTCTCTTAACTACCTTTGCCGCGGTTCCTGCTTCTCTGCCCGCCGTAATCTCCCGCGCTTGCTCGTCTTCTAACCTCTCTCCTTTGGCGGTTCCTTTCCTTCTTTCTAATGCCTTTCTTAATGTTCGCCTACTTTTCCCTTCAATCGCCGTACTTCCTTATCTTACCTTCTCACTCCTACTACACTTATTCACCTCGCCTTTACAATTATTCGTCTAATTACCACTTATAATTATTTCACACGCTCAATTCGCAACCACTCTCTCGCACGCCACCTAACCGCCCTTTAAAAATAAAATAAGAAGGTTTAAATAAAATTGATTCTTAATTTTTAATTGATATAATAATGACCAAGCTCAATTGCACCTAATACTGGTAACCTCTAAATCTTATGTTCCTAATTCTGATAACCAGATGAACACATTACTGGCAGTTCTTCTAACCAAACTTTGAAGGTTTGCACAACGGAGGAAATAGGTATTCGTTTCATCCGGATAGTTTATGTTAAGGTTTAAGGTAATAAGTAGCCAGTAGTATGCACACATGCCTGCATTTATTGCAGATAATGCTTCCTTTCCATTATTTGTGCTGTATAAGCATCTTTTTTGTTTACTCATTTTTCTTTACTTCTTAATTACATTAGTACTACAAGTAAAAGTCATAAATAAATTTAATATGTTAGAATAATATTTTAATATTTTAAAATAATATTATGATTAAATAATAATTTTACTTACATTTAGGATATATATCGCTTAAGTCAAAATAGAGGGATAAAGGTAAAATTTACAGAGATTGTGCATTTATATATCCCAAAAACCTGTGTTAAATTTGCGATCGATTGTCTGACCCATTTAAAAGTTATTAACTTTTTAATTTCGTATGAATTCTTGTGGAGATTGACAGGTTATCAAATATATGCATTCAGAATATAAAGAAAAAATAGAAAACAATTCTTGAAAAAATTACGGTGTGTAGAGAATACATTGGCACAGATTCTTAATAAATTTTACGATAATTCACTGACTATAATAGTTTCTGAGAAAAGAAATAAAAACTGCAGCACTCTCACAGATCTTGGCGTTTGACCTTAAAAACACGGCAACGTCGCACTGCGAGCTCGGTAATTATGATGTTTTTCACATTTTTGCTGCCGGTTTCCGATATTTTCAACCGATGTTTATATACGGCCTCTGATGTCTTTATACCTTAAAAGTGGGTTTTTATTACATTTCAACATTTTTTAACCTCACTACTAACCTCCCTTTTCTCAGCATGTCAATGATATAAAGGGTACTACCGTCGGGCGTTCAGAGCAGCCAACAGTTAAAAGTAATATTAACAGTGAGGGGTGTTGCCACGTCTTTTTGTGTTGTTTGCTCGATATTTTTTCTTTTTATTTTTGTATTCAGCATATTTATTTAACTTGTATAATAATATTTTTACTATTACGTGATATTTTTGATTATATTTAACCGTTACTTTCTGCCTTTATCCAGATTATATATATGTATAATTTTTGTTACTAGTAGTTGGATAAGGAAAATTCCCAGCCAAAAGTTTTGAACCTCTATTAAGAATATTTACAAATACGCTGCCAGTAATTATAAAAAAATTGTTAAAATCACTTAAATCAGTAATATTAATGTCCTTGTTATGATATGCAATAGTAGTCAACCATTAAAGTATGTATACAACCGATATATATTAGATTTCTCAGATTACTATGCTTTTTGCTGGGAATTATAAGGTATACGTGATACATCCTTAACCTCAACAAGTGTGCCAAGTAAATTTTGAGAATAGGTATCTAAGAATAATAGGTAGGTATCCCGATAACCCGAGTTCACGCTACCAAAACAAAGTCGACATAAAAGTTTAGAGGTTATTATTCACCAAGTATTATGTTCTGCCAGTATTATGTTCATTTCATGATTTATGTCCATAATACTGTTGACATGATTAGGAAAAACACGAAAAAGTGAACATATTACTGACATGAATAATTGTATTATAAAAATTATTAATTTATTTCATATATATTTTTTTTTTTAAGTTCAACATTATTTTATCAGAAAAATGTGTTACCGTGAGACTTACTGTTCAAATTTTGCCCATAATCGGTAATCTTTGTAGCTACTTATTACATCTACTCTACTAATAAAAATAGACGTAACTTAGCAAAAAAAATGAGTTTTTCGGAGTTTAAGTTTTTTTTTAAATTATTGGATTGGCTTTTAGTTTTAGTTTATTGTTATAATAATAATTAGATTTCTTAAAAATTTTAAAAATTAATAAAATAATATAAGATAGAGTTTTCATATTTTAAAAAGTATTTTAATTTTGATTGACAGTAATATGGACACTGTTAGTAATAGGGTCTTTTACCCTACGTAGAGTATCAAGTTACTCATCATGTGGTGATATTGGTTTGACCTTGAACGATCTTGGGAAAGTCACATTCAGTTTTTTTTAAGTAGATACCCCTATTTTTTTATGTCATATTCTTGTATGTAGCCCGTCGAGACGTTTTCAAGACACTGTGGCAAGACATGATAAAGCTCTCTTTCGTTAAGAATTTTCTGATGATTCAAATTTTGTCATGACATTTTTAATATAAAATATAAAATATCTCGTATTCACTTTTCGATAACTTTACCTTCATACTTTTATACGTAAAATAATGAAAAAATCGAATAATAATATTAATTTTTATATTTGAAATTTTGCAAAATTGAATGCGTCTACAAAATGCAATCACATATTTTAAAATAATTTTTTTTCCAACGATTGATTTCTTTCGACTAATGACAATAAAACTAAATATGGATCTATTAGGTTCTTCTTGGAAATACATAAAAACACAGGCACACAAAGAAATTGTTATGTTTGG